AAACTAGAGCCGAAAGCGGAGAGTAGTAATTCGGAGTGCATGGCGTCCACACCGCCTACTCGGCGTCGCGCGTCTGCGGATGCGGCGGGCGGTACGCCTGAGCGCAAGAAGCGTCGCCTGACGCGACCACGCAAGCTCTGAGCTAGCCGCGCGCCCCGGCCTGCCCGAGCACCCGCTCGTCGTGACTCGCGTCGAGTGGAACAATCTCGAATCTTTGGTGAGTCGGAGTATTCTTGTTACATCTGCGGCCCGATGTAATGACAAAAATGAGGACCCTGAACTTCAGATGCGCAGCCAGTAGCGCAATATTCTTCATCCACTTGCCATAACTTGACAGTGGATTGACACAATAACCACTCACATATATTTATTTGCTAACTTGCAATGCCAATGGTATATCCATCGAGCATTTTACATGTAGTTTTTTCTGCACTTACTAGCTTCATAGGATCAAGGACATGTGTCGTATTTCGGGGTCTGACAAAGAAATGAACTGAATAGGCTTACCTATTCTTTTAAGATTATTGGCTAATGGGTATTATACATGAGTATGATTGATTGTATAAGCAGTCATGATGGTGTAGAATCCAATAAACAATTGGTTAGTTGGAAAGTTGTGTGTTGATAGTGTTAGATTGAATGTTTTGGAGCGGGGTCTCCTTGTAAACCCGCTTTTGACGCGGGCTCGCCTAGACCAGGACATTGTTGAGTAATACTAAAACTTTATGTACGTACGTCGATCCGCAGCCAGTAACCTATAACTTCTGGAGTCCATTATAAAAATTTCATTCACTCATAGTAAGTATAAAGAATTATTTTATAGATTTATTGGAATTTAGTAGTATTAAATTGGTTAATATTTTGGAATATGGTAATACTTGCTATGCACATATAATAATTTTATTAACTGACCAGAGTATTGTTTCCATTTCTATTTATGAAGCAAAATTATACTCTAATTCTATTTTTCCATGTGTATAGTAATTATTATTCTTATATAAATTACCAGAATGTTGTAGTTTTTTTTGGAAGCTTAGTTTAATTATAGATTTGCAATTTACTGCTGAGTTGTGAAAGTAAATGGGCCGACCATAAACAAACTAAAATCTACCTTCCTTACATTTGTTAGTAAGTAATATTACTCATATTTTATACACTAGAGATTTCATTGCAACAACATACTACAAAAATATTTCATTGTCTACAATACAATCTTTATTTTTTTGGTTTGTTTATGTTGATCCATGGGTTCAGATGCATGCAGATAATAATGTTCAGGGCAGTATTCATATACCAAATGGCTAAATAGATTTCTTTATGAAGAGATATGATATGTTATAAATTATAAAACATAATGACTTAAGTGCTGATCAATGCTTAGAATATTGGGTCTTTGAGGAGAATTATCAATAGTCTGTTATTTGTATTATTTCAATCCAATAATGTCAGTAAATATAGTAAACACAGATGTTAACACAATTTGGGGAATAACATAAGTGTTATTATACAACTAAACATGCATGTGATCTATTTTCTCTGATCTCATATAGGTATCACTTAAACCAGGACACAATGTCTCAGTTCACCTCAAAGATGCAATAAACTTATTCTGTTAAACTTATGTTTGAGTAAAGCAGTGTTACTTCTAAATAACAGTCAGAGCATCACAAGTAGTAGTGGACTACAACACTGAACTGGTGCTGTGGTGGTTATTCAGAGGAGTACAAATATTTTTAGTTTGTAGGTTTTACAGCCCTGATTATTTTAATTTAGTAAAATAGGTTTTGAAAAGGATTGTGAATAGAGATGAAGGTTGAATGTTGTGTTTATTTGTAAATATTCTAAAAGTAAAATCACATGTGTAATGTACAAATGAATATATATTTATGATTGTATAAATATACAACAGTGTAAATGAAATATTTTTGTGACATGGTGTATAGTTAGGTGACAGTAGATGTGGCATAAATATTTTCCATACTATTGAGTTAAGAGATGTGCTCACGGGCTTCACACAATTCTTGCATCATGTCACTTAACAATCTACAAACATATCAGCCAAATTCATCGAGTCATCGTCGTGCAGGTTACCTGAACTTAAGCACTTAGTTCACTATTGTATTCTGTATCAAATACGCACAAATACTACATATATTTATATTGACAGATTCATTTATTTAATTTGCTGTTTGTGAATCATTCACCTTTAATTGCGTTTGTGGTTTTCATACTACATTATTATGTACATATTACTTCTAGTGCATATAGTATACAAATACATATTCCCGATGTTTTATATACAGAAATCACGAGTACAAATATTTTTCGTTATAATGCCATCAAGGCTTCTTATGTTTCGGTAGCAGTTGTGTATTGATTTATAACATTATTTTACTTAGTTAATACGATACTTCGAACAATACAAACAATCTCTTAACTTGTAGATGTATCTGTAATCACAAGCATAGTATCCAGGTGAAACGAGTCAAATTCGCCTATTTGGACAATAAGCAATGTTAGTTACCAATTATCTGCCACTGTAGAAATGCATTAGGAACATATCTAAAGAATAAAACTCTTGAGATGCTTGTCGGCTACTACATAAGTTCTCGTATAACTACACCGAAGCGACATTTGACTGAATAAAACGCTAATGCGTGTTCATGCATGACAAAGTTACTTTCGTGGACACCTTTGCCATGTTATATTTGTGTATATAGTTCAATATTGTACATACTATGTATGCTGTGTGTAGGACTGTAGATTGTTTCACATTCTTAGAGTTGTAAGGCAAGTTATAGAATAAAAGAAGTACACGGATTATTTTAATATTTGTCAATATATTCTAATTGAGTGAATTGAAGTCAGACGAACGTCTGATGTAGACTCGGGTTGTGTGCCCTACTTGTGACTTGTCGACGGCGCTGCAACCAGAATGTTGCCAGTCCTGTCGGCAGTGTTATTGTGTACTTTTAATAAGGTAATATTCATTTAATGGCTATGATGTTTCAACGACCTAATAACGAAGTTTTATAAAGTAATGCTTATCATTCTCAGGAACTCGGTACATACTAATTGGACTATTTTCTTTATAATTTATTTTAAATGTTGTTTTCCTATTAAAGGTGAATGTTACAAATGAGTTTATTATCATTTAGCCAATTTATTAGAGTACACTGTGTACATAATAACATACTTAGGTTAAGTAGTTCACTTGAAATTATTTTTCAAGGTGCATAAAACGGCGAAATGCGATCTACATTGATTTTATTAATCGCGTGGGACCTTCTCCCGTCATGTTACAAATGATTAAAATGTATAATAATAGTGATGACCCTATATTATAATAATAATTTCGTGTCGAGTTTATCTTTGAAAGTGTTCCATTATGCTTAAGTTGAATTTTGTAAGGAATATAAATATAACAACTGAATTGTATTGAGGGAAAACTGGAGAGATAATATGATGTTTAACAGCCTAAATTAATAACAGATCTTAGTCCAAATTCTCTGTGTTTGACATAACTCCCTAAAGAATGTCAAAAATCGATCTTAATCTACACATTTTGGATAGAGATTAGTTATTAATTTGGACCGTAAATATATTATTGTGGCAAACACGATGTTATGTATGTGTTGTAGAGCTTAATGAATTTAAATTTTAGAATGTTACTTTAAATAAAAATGATTCGAAGTGAACATAATTGTGCCTAAATCAGTTAAGTACTTAATGTCCCTGTCAAAAGTTGTAAAATAGCGTGTGGACCGCTGTAAGCCACGTCTTATGTACAATATAAACGTATTTTTTATTCACAATCTCTTAATTACTCGACATCTTATATTTTGCATCAAACAAATGCAAAGTTGTACTAACAAACTGTTTAAGGTAGTAAAACTATGTTTTCTCACCAGCCGTAGTAAAATCACCTTTAGCATCGTCAGTTGATGTTAAGATCCACAAACCTTACAATATCGAGATATGATGTGAGACATTTTTCCTAATAATGTGTATCTATATTAAAAACGAAGTAGCATGTGCAATGTACACGCCTGTAGTTCTGATAAAGAATAATTATATTGATCTTACATTTTTCGTGATAATTATATCAAGCTATTTACTGCATTTTTCTGTAAACCTGTTCTATTTTTCTTCATTCAATAGTGCAATACTTACATACACCCATTCAATGGTGTTATTTTGGCAAAATTTGCAGTTTATATTCTTGGAAACTTTAAAATAGACGCGATAGGGCTGTAAATTAAGGTATAAATTAATGTTGTTAGAGAAGTAAATGATGTCCTGCCATGTGCACTGAATGCATTACAGGAGTTTTATGTTGTGCTCTGGCAAGTGTGTACAACCAGCAAGACTGTCAATTGCTGTAGATATTCTCTTTATGATAGTTATATGATATAGTATTTTTATTAGACAAAAATACAATAAATGTGTGAAGTCCAATTATTTTTTTTTTATTTTCAACCTTTGTCCACAAAATCGTTTTGGGGATGGGGATCAAGGGCATTATATTTCGGATAAGAAAAAAAAATTGTATACTTTTATTGTGCTGTGGTATAACTGAAATATAATAAAAAGCTGATATAAACTATCTGCTTGGTCTGGTTTGAAAACCCACGCACCCTGCGGTGAAATCGAAGGCACTGCTCAATGAAGCATTTCAGTGTTTGCTTTCATAAATTAATGATATCAGACATATATTATGTGACGTAGGAAGTTTAAATGATGGCCCTAGTCCTAACGTGTCATTACCCTGCATTTCTGCGTATACGCCAAACTACAAGGTTACGGATAAAACTTTATTAATTATTTACATATCTTCAAGGACTAAGCATAAAGTAAGCCCCCATAAATATATACTTGAATTTGAGTTCTCGTTTGCTGCCCGGAAAACTACACACCGAAAGCAGCTGACGTGCTTTCATTATAGGCAGGGGAATTTATAAGCGAGGGAAATCGTTGGCTGCGCACAGTTGTCTGTCGCAGTGTCGCGACGTCCATGTCGCACCGCTACCGAACCTAGAACACACGCTTGTTTCACCGTGCTCTTATTTGTAAACAATACGAGCTTAAACATGAATTATATTTAATAAATAATAACTAACGCTTTGAGAATACCAGTGATAAGTTTTGACAAAATGCAAGTGGTTGCTGCAACAGTTTTTGTGTTTGCGCTATTTCAAGGTATGTATCTAGACTTTTTGTTATTTATAATAATAAATAGGATGCGTTATTTTTAATTTCGCTATTATCTACCTATGTATATTTTTTAACGTTTTAATGTTATAGCGTATTTGTTTGTCTTTATTTACTTTTATTAGGTAGGTACTAGAAAAATGAAACTCAAAGAAACTTAGTGAAAGAAAAACAATCAAACTTAAGCACAATCACTACGAAAAAGTGCCTTTTTAAAATCATACAATCATAAAAATATAACTTGTCCTATTTACCTGGTTTAATACAGGACCTGAGATTTAAAAAAAAATGTATTGTTCTTAGTAAAGCGTTTCCTAATATTGGAACACTAACATCAGTTCTAATGAATGACGAACACAAAGGTATGACTAGGTATGTAAGCAGGTACCTACTTCAATCACAAACGTAGGTAGTCCCTTCCTAGTAGTCTTGAAATATAGGGGGATTAACACGCCAAAAGTCGAAAACATAGGTAGGTCCTAAATAAGTAATAACGTGTGTTATATACTTAGATTTGTTTCATAAAATATAATTTAAGTCATGATTATGCATTGCTGCACGTTTGTTGAGGATATTAGCCACGAGGCCTAATCACTAGACCTACACTACAACTTAAAATCTCTTCACTTCACTTGTAAATTACACTTGAAAAATAAAGATAGCTTATCATACCATAACTTTACATTACGATGGTATTCCGACACGAACGGAGAAGGTGCAGGTTATGTGCATCCTTCATACGTCTTCCTGGAATTCGTAATTGACCTCCCAACGTATTTTTAAACATTCCTTTTAGTTTTTACAAACCTCTTGGCCATTATTTGGTTATAACTTTATTCCATCTACCATACCGCTTAAACCTCGCGTCTAGCTAGTTTATCCAGTCATATTTAATAACTAGCTACTTCCGCGCGGTTGCACCTGCTCTGATCGGTTCCTAATGATCGTAGCGCGATGTTTTGTAGCCTATTACCTTCCTCAACAAATCTACTATCCAACACAAAAAGAATTATTGAAATCGGACTGGTAGTTTTGGAGATTAGCGCGTTCAAACAAACAAACTCTTCAGCTTTATAATATTAGTATAGAAGTATAGATTTGGGAATTACGGCTTAGATAAAAATTAATGTCATAGGTCGTACCTACATTGTGTTGAGTAATAATTAAATACAAGAAGCAGGAAAAATATTTGCGGTTCTTGCTTAATTTTAGCGGAGAAAGCACTTCTGTGTTACTTTGTTACGCACTCACTAAAATGTTTGCAAACAACCTGAAAGTATTTGTTCGTACCTATGTTTAACATTTCTTCATAAAGTTACGTAAATTAATTTAATTGTGACTAAAATAAAATACCCTTTAATGTGCCGTGCTTCTAGAGTAAGCACAGGTACTTGGTAATTGAGTAGGTAGGTACTACATTTGGGTGCCTACATACCAAGTCCTACATCAGGGTTACATTACAATACTCAAGAGAAAGTCCGGATAAGAAATCTTAGCAGCTACAGCTACCTACAACTATTATAAACACAGCACTGTAGTGTTTATGCTCTACCTCAATTGTTTATTTTTTAACTCTTTATAAACTTGATAGTGGTAATGTGATTTGCAGTTTCCTTTCTGTAACTTATCAAGAACTCTGAAATCGCGAAACTCTTGAGTTACAAGTACCTAGGTGCTTTGGTTACGCAATAATAATAATTACGGCAGGTCAAAGAATTCTTTTAAATAGATACGAATATTTATTTAAGGATAGCCATCGTGGTTAGCGGTAACAACTTTTTGTGGTTGAGTCAAATCAAACAAAAAAAGGATCCTCAAGATGCTTCTAGTTCTAACGTTGTGTCCATTATTATCATTAAATGCAGGCAAACGAGAGAGATGGAAATATACCTGCCCACTCACTCCTAATTTAGGTATCAAACCCATGTATAAGCAATCTTTTAAAATTTTACATGTTGCGTTTGTTACCTCATTGTACGATTTGTAATTAACAAATAGAGAATATGTAACGAATGTTTGGAAATCTTTTTTTTTTTTTTTTGAGGGGGGAAAATCATCCAATGACTTCTCCCACCCGGGTGAGGCGGGAGGGAGTGTCAGACTCTTACTGACTAAAAACCACCCCGTTCCTACTCCTGCACTTCGAGCCGGAGCCCCGGCAACCCGTTAAGTCTTCCGCGGCTCCGTATCGGCATCAGCCTTGTTAGGCCCCATCTGTGGTGGTCTGATGGCTCCTTGAGGCGCGCGCGGAACGCGACGCGCCGTACGCTCGGGCCTGGTTCTGGTCGGGCGGCGAGTCACCCGTGCTCGCCGTCCGCAGGCCCGTGCTTACGGTGGCCGGAGATCGTCTCGCGATCCCCGACGCCCGGAGTGTCTCTCGCGACGGCCGGGTCGTGAGGAGGTTCGTTCCCTCACGCGCTCCGCCTCCTCCTTAGCTAGCATGACTGCTTCGCAGAAGGAGGAGACGGCATCCCAGT